AGACCCCCCCCGCCAAATCCCTTGATTTTTTCCCGATTGATTATAATTATAAGTATAGTAGTACGTAAAATTTAATTGTCTGTTATTAATGATTAATTTTATTAAGTAAAGCTAATTATTTATTCAAAAATTAGTTTTTTACTGTGTTTTGTTTACGAAAATGGACAAAATCAAAAGGAGCATGATACAAGAATGATGGACTTTCGATCCTGGACCCCCTCCCCTTGAAAAATTTCTGTGTGCGCTTCTGGTCCTATGTATATACATATTTATATTAATTGTAACTATTAATGAAAAAGTAACTAAAATAAAATGTAGTAGGAGTTGAGACTTCTATTTATATCTCTTGTTCTTTGAGCAAGTAGCACGTATCAAGCAGGAAGTCCCTTCACTTTGAAAATGGAAAGGGAACATTTGCAAGAAAATCCCCCGCAAACATCGGCTGGGATTTCACCTGACGAATTTAACCTCGTCATAGTTTCTGATCCGTAAAGTTATTCCACGTGACACTTTCTAATCCCTTTCGTCAACAGAAATTCTCTTTTTTTTTCCCGCTGGCATCGAACGACGCAGACGATTAGCCGGCGGCTGAAATCAGGAATCCGAGGCTGGATCGTCACCGATTTATCGTTTTATTTTAAATCAGCTGTGGCAACGGTGGTTGCATAAATTTAAAATGTTAACCTTTACTAGCCCATTGGCTACTAAAGATTTAGCGATCTGCGCATGAGTTTTTAGTGCAATACGTATGCAATAAATACATTAATAAGTATTTGAATGTGTCTAATTGTTGATGCAAATTGCAGTGTTTGCATTCATTTAGTTCTGTGCAAACGTTCACTGAATACGTGATAAGAAGAGAAGAGTTTTTTGATAAGAAGAGTTCCTGATAAGAGAGAGAGAGAGTCTATTTTTAAATCAATGTTGTTGTTTTTTGCAATCATCCCCTGGCATGTTTTCCAATCTAACAATTGAAACGAAAATCTTAAAATCTTGAGCCGTTTTTTATTTGTTTATTACACACTATGCGACAGTAACGTTTTTGAAACAATAATTGTTCTGTAAAAATATTCGTTGATTTTTTCCCCTCTTTTAAGGCTATCTTCGGCTAACGTTAAAGAATAGGAGCCGAATTCGAAATATTTTTTCAGATATAAAAGTACTCAAACATTAATATTATATATATTCTGGATACACTATCTCTCTCTCTCTCTCTTGTAGAGCAGGGGGGTCCAACACCCGGGCCGCATGCAGCCCGCCAGTACGTAAGTTGCGACCCGCCGACTCTTTTTTAAAATATTTTTAAATATCAGATTTTTAAAGTTTTTTCATTTTGAAGTTTATTTGAGGGGGAATTTATTTATATATATATCTACAATGTATTTGCCTGTTACTTGTTCTTGTTTTAAGAAAAATAAATCCTTTTTGATAATAAAAATGTCTTTTAGATTAAAATACAGTTATATTTTATCAAACAGTTACATTTGATTTAATTAAAATTATTTTTTAAATAAATTTCGAATTGCATCTCATGCATATCCTTTACTATGGATGGTACATGATTCTCTGTGTGTGGGGGACTTTCGTTTCTCCTCCTCCTTTTCTGTTTGGAGTGCCCAAAAAGCAAGAGGCAGTCAGATATATTTTTTAATATTTAAAAAAATATTCAGGTCGGTAAAGATAAAGGACAATGTATGCTTAATCGTTTGCGAATGACAGCATTATCAAATTTCAACGATGAGTAACGAAAGATCAATTCAATAGGAACACCATAATTTTCAAGAAAATGGCAACTGTAATATTTTAAACATTATTTGATCATTGAATTATTATTTTATTAACATTATTATATTATCTATGTCTGTATACATGAAAAATAATGAAAACAATAAATAATAATTCATTCTGTTTTAAATTTTCACTCCAATAAATGTTTTTTGTCTCCAAATCTGATATAAAGGTATATATTTTTATGTGCGGCCCGTGACATTATAATGTTTTTCCGAATGTGTTTTGCATTTGTTTCTTACACGGTAATACTAAATGAGCTATTCTTTCACATGTGAAAAGAAAAAATTAATTATTTATGAAATATTTTGAAATTTTAAAAACACTATATTATAAGCAAATGCATGAGTTACTATGTCACAAATTTTTATAAAAATTGAGGCATTTTTTTTCTGTCTGAAAATGCGCTCTGCGTCAAATTCACGCTCTCCTTCATATGGCGAAAACAGCCGTAAGACGACTGATTACGTTTGGAACCATGATTTTGCAAAAGCGTATAAATGAATAATTTTTTTTGATATTTTGTATCATTTGAAGTAGGATATACACATAAAGTTGTCTTAAGAATACTATTACCAAGAAAAAATTGCATTTAAATATTTCTTTTCTTGTACTAGTAGTATTCTTAAAACAATTTTATGTTTATATTCTAATTAAACTGACACTCTAAATATCAAAAAAAAATTATTTATTAATATGCTTTTTCAAAATCACGGTTCCGAATGTAGTGAGTCACCTGGGTAAACAAAAAATAAACAAACTAAAATCTATTGATCAATTAAAAGATTTGTCGTACCTGTAAGTAGATTAACCATTCTCTCTGTCGTCGTCGCATGGCATGCAACACAAAGAAAACATTTTATCCTTAAAACTGAATTCGTCGCTACTTACACGTCTTTTTAATTTCCGTGATATTTTTGTACTTTTGAATATTTCTTACGAGAGGGCACAACTAGTATTACTTTCTTCACAATTATGGCAGAAAGATTTCTCGCCTGGAATCTAACACTAACAGCATCTTACGAATCTCAAGATATGTTGAAATTTCAAATAAAAAAAACCATTCAAGATGTTTTTGATATTTATTATCAAAATTTTGTCTGTCAAAGCAATCCAAAAATATGCAATAAATGTGAATTTTACACTCTAATGTGTCCAAGGAAGATTGTAATGCTGTTTTAACGTTAAAGTACTTATTGCCAAAATATTTTTAAAATAAATTATTCCAAATATTTTTAAACAAATACTTTTATTATTTTTTGTAGATATTTATCTCAAACACCTCAAAGCGAGTAGCATTAATATACATATTATCAGAGTATATTTTTTAAAATTTTAAACTAAGGTGCATTGCAGAGAAAACTGGTGGAGATCAGTGAAAGGGATATCGCATATTTTCCAACTATAAAACAAGTAAAAAACTGCTCACTGTTAAAAATAATTTGCAATTTTCATTTTAGGTTAGAATATATATTAATTTTGTAATATAAGAGAAAACTTGAATTTTTGGGGCTCAGAAATTCGTTAGAAATCCGACAGAGAATGGGTTAAGAATTTTCGTAAGAAAGTTATATAAAAACTAATAATAATCACAGAGAAATTATATACAGTCGGACCTCTATATGACGAAGTCGCTAAATCCTGGAAAAAAGTTCGTTGTATGGAAAATTCATTATACGGAGGTTCATCTTTTTAATATCCTGTATGAACCACATAAAAAAAATTTAATTTCATAAGCTCTATGTATTAAAAAAATAATTTATTCACACCTTTTTTAAATTAGTATATGTTTATTTTATGTATCCCCAACAAAAATAAAAAGAAAAAATAAAGAAAAACTACAAGAAAAAAGAATGTTGAAGAAATACACAGTTATTTAAATACTAAGAAAATAATTTTACATTAACATTAACGTATTTTAAGGACATTTTCTAATTTAAAACATATAAGTTTTATTGAATATACATTATTTTATAGCTAAAACACGGGGACAAGGGACAACTCCACTAAGGCTGAAATGGGATATCGAAAATGTTTCTAGTGAATTAGACAATGGGTGTTATAAAGGTTGCACTTCGTCGATGAAACATTTATAACTTTATTGCTCTCGGCAAGTTAGGATCTAATAAAACCAGTTAAAGATTTATGTATTACCACCATAAAATGTGTTAAAAGAGATTATAACTTGAAATGTTTAGAAATGCTTCAAAAATGGGGAGAAAAAAATTGACTCTCAAAAGAAAAAGTTCGTGATATAGAAAATGCACTTCGTTATAGAGAGGTTATTTTACAAACAAAATCGTGGAATGTTGAAGGTTGCAGGAAAAAGTTCGCTATATAGAAAAATTCGCAATATAGAGGTTCGTTATATAGAGGTTCGACTGTATTTTTATAGTTATACAGAGAAATTATATATATGAGAACCAACGTATAAATGGATAATTTTCATAATATTTAGTGTCACTTAGATTAGAATACATGTACAAAATTGGTTTAAGGACATTTTGACAAAAAAAATATTTACAATATTTCGGCAAAAAATTTACTTAGAATAACTTTTTTTCAAAATGTTCTCCTTTTGTGAAAAATACTTCTATTATAATAATATTTTGCCTGTATATAGCTCAGACCTCTGTACAGAGGTTTTGACTGAGTTTTGAAAAATTCACATTATTTTGAGAGTTACAACGAATTGGAATAATAATCGAGACATTTTTTCTTAAAATTTCTTCCCTCTGTTGTCGTAAAACATGGATAAACCCACTTCTAAGTTATATATTTCAAAAATTCTAGTTGAGCCTCTGCCGAAGTCTGAGCTATATACAGTCAAAATATTATTATAATAGAAGCATTTTTCACAAAAGGAGAATATTTTGAAAATGGGTCATTCTATGTTCATTTTTTGTCAAAATTTTGTACTTAAATAATTTTTTATTGTAATACTATTCTTTAAACTATTTTATGTACATTTTCTAATCTAAGTGGCACTAAATATCCTAAATATTATCCATTTATACGCTTTTGCAAAATCACGCTTCCGAACGTAGTCGGGTATTTCAAGTGGCAAAATGGAAGGCGATTTTCCATTTTTCTTTCTAAATATGGTGTCGGATTATTATTTTTTTGTTTGTTTCTATTTATTCATTCATTAAATTTAATTATTCTAATAAAATAGTGTAGTAAAAAAGAAATCAAGTTCTCAGAAATTAGGCCATCCCTGATGGAACTTGTATCCACAACATTTGGATTAGAAATCCAACGTGCTCTCCATTGCGCTACAGGAACACAACTGACGATTTTCTTTTCTATATTATGCTGTTGGACTATGATTTTTATTTGTTACTTTTGATTCTTTTTTAAATTTAATTAATGAATTAATATTTGAAAAAAACTGTATTAACATCAAGAGTATATACCACAAGTTTTAAAATAAATTGCCTTTACTTCAAGTAGCGTAGCATGTTGATCTACTTTTAATATTATATAAAGATATGTTCTAAGAATGAAAAATGGGGTTGCCCGAAAATACCTTATAGTTCTTATAGTCGAAAAAGTTAGACGACCACTGCTTTAAAGCAACACGAAGTTTTTTGGGGACGAAAATCATAATTTGGAACCTTGGTCAAGTAATGGAGATGATACCTGAGCTAGCATTATTCTCTCCAAACAACCAATGAACGGGAGGACTTTGAGCTTCGATAGATTTAACGTGCATTAGCTCCTCTACACGGTGGATCTTCAGTGGCCCTAGGACTCGAATTTACGACCCACCAGTTACGAGAACGTGATCATGACCACTTAGCTACCATGGTCACATCTAGTGGCGTAACAGAGAACATTTGGGCCTTCCTGCAAAGTCAGGTTTTGGGCCCTCAAGTTGGATTTTACAAAGGGTAGGTACTTAGTGGCAGTCAGGCTTTGGGTCCCCTAAAACCCTGGGCCCCGCAATGCGGGGGTGTACGTTACGCCACTGGTCGTATCTATCATCAAAGGTAGATCAACTCATATAGGTATGTTAACAAAATTAAAAGCTTTGGATCCTTCAATAGAACCTCTTCTTTCATTTTAAATTGGACAAGTAACTAAAGTTTAAAGCGAGACAGTCCACTTAATTACATGCGTAAACATGGTTTTATTGATTTCAATGTTGGCACATCTACACCTTTTAGCTGCACCACACCTATTGATTCTTTTAATCATGTTGAATTTCGGGAAGAATTATTGACCAGTACTCCCAAGCATAGCAGCCATCCGGAATTACTCAGACAACTGGCACTTGAAGTAATAAATGCCAGTGCAGCACCCGATGCAGCCTTGATTATTTACACAGAGGGTAGTCGTTCGGATACGAGCAGAGCAGGGAGAGGTATTTTTGGTAACACTCCTGGGAACGATGTTAAAATCAGCATCAGGAATCCTGACCACTGTTCCGTCTTTAGATCGGAACTCATTGCTATTAGTGGTGCTCTCGATCATGCTCTCAACTCTTATAAGGACAGTATCTGGATCCTGACAGACGGCAGAAGCTCCATCCAATATTTGAAGAATTGGCCAAAAATTATGGACAGTACTGGTCTAGATATTTTATCCAAATTAGTTAGACTTGGTCAGAGGAAATAAGTATGTCTCCAGTGGATTCTATCACATGTGGGTGTGCCTGGGAACGAAGCTGCTGATGAGCTGGCTGGTAGAGGATGTGATCTCCCTAACCCCAGTTCCACTGTCTTAACCCATTCGAAATTCATTCATTCCAAAAAAATAAAATGAATTTGACTTGGCGAAACCCTCCTTCTCACCACTGGTACGCAGCTAAGAGTCCTGGCCTATTTATACAGTGCAGGAGTTCCAGGGCTCATCAGATGGCCTTGGCGCGCTTTAGAAGCGGTCACCTGCGTAATATGACTTTTGTGCAGGGGGTAAAGTTTTTCTTTACCTGTCCCTGATCTCTCCTTGCTTCTCCTGCTGATCTTCTGGACTGCTGGGGCATTTCCCTGCGACAGTTGTATGAAGAGCAAGGCCTGGTGTGTGAGACTATTACGCGGAAAGGTCAAATGGACTTGGTGTAGGCTTTCCTGCCACAAGGGGATTGAAAACAACCAATTTATACATTTTTGCGAAAAGCCAAGAGAATAACATTGCATCCCCGTATTAAAAATTTATTTATGGTGTTCACTGTTAATTATTTCGCGTGTTAACTAATTCAATACAAAGTCGAATACCGAAATTGAAAAAATTTTTACTTTGTGAGTCTTTGTTTGATTATGAACTTCCTAATTACTGCTTCCTCAAACCATGAGGTTAGGCCTTTTGAGAAATCCCACCGTGCTTGTCATTTTTATGAAAAATACGTGACATATAATCATTCGTTGTATGTCGACAGCAACTTATAAGTCACTGATATTCCACTCATGTTCAAAATAAATAAATAATAAACCGTAATATAATAACTACCGTCAAAATATTTCTTTCTGACAGCCTCCGTAAAATAAAAATTACGGTAGATAATTAAGTGCCCATACTTGTCTTTCAAAGAATCTCAAATTATTTCTGAAAATCGCTCTAGGCGCGTGAAAACCCGGGGCGTTCCCCGGACACTTTTCAATCAGACACACACAATGCCACGTGATCTCTAGTTGAATAAATACAGTAAAGACTGGCGTTCCACGCATGCCTGCCGACTGGAGGAATCAGGTCCATCTCAAATGCGGTTTGGTGGACCTGATGACCCGAAAATCGTGAGCTTTATTACACAGGCAAGTGAATGACTGCAAATTGTATTATTTTAAAGTTGTTCCGTGCAGGTTTGGGTCAGAGTTGAAATCCATATTCGAGTTTGCTTCATGGCATGTTTGCACCGTTAAGCTTCTCTATGTGTGTATCGGGGCTTCTTAAACATTTTTGACCTGCAACCCTTTTTTTTTTCACTGCGAGCAGAATATTTTTCTTTTTCCTGTGTAGGATATAGAAATTGATTGAATTTGGAATACGACATATAATCATACTGTTAAATTATCGAAAGAAATGTTTATATATATATATATATATATATATATATATATATATATATATATATATATATATATATATATTAACAGCTCTTAAGAATATTAAATGAATAAGAAAGAATATATATATATATATATATATATATATATATATTATTTTATTCATTTAATATTCTTAAGAGCTGTTATATATATATATATATATATATATATTTAAGTGGCGTACACAAACAATAGTGAGCATAGGGGGAGGGTTGAGGTTCAACCTTCCACGGATCAACAAATTTTTAATTTTTACCATACAGATTACTCCTCGCTGATTTCGTTTATTTGTTTTTTAGAATGCAGCTCCCTCTTCCCCTCATAAGAGAGGTTTGTACGCCTCTGTATACAAAGGTGGGAGGTATACCCCCTAAAAATCTCTTGATCTAGGGACGTATAATCCCCCAGATCAAGAGATTTTTAATTTTTACGCCTTGACGCTTTTGTCAACGTTTTTTAAAATATAATTTCCTCCTCCATAAAAATAGTCTGTTATGTTACTGGTGCTTGCGTGTGTATGCAGTGGCGCAACGCAGAATATTAGCCCCCTCCCTGTAAAGTCAGGTTTAGGGCTCCAAGACAGATCCGAAAAAGGGTACGGTTAGAAGAACAGGCTTTGGGCCCACCTCCTTACTGCGGGGTTAGCTAGGTGCACGCTACGCCAGTGCTCCCCACCCCCTGGAACACGGACGGGTGCTGGCCTGTGGTCAAACAGCTCCGGGTCGCATAAGGAACACAAAATTATCTTCATTTTATTTGCTGCGGTGCATTTCTCTCGGCTTTTTTTGGAAACCACTTTATATTCCTTGTTAATTCACTTCATTTTTTGTTGTAACTATATTTTATTTTGAAGGCATGCTTAAATACGATTAAATTAACTTAACTCAGTGGCGCGACAGCCCATGAGGGCCAAAGCCTACTGTGCCTGACTCAGTATACGCGACCTTGGGCCTTGAGATGCATGAGCAGATCCGGTCAGGTGGTCAGTTTGACGCGAAACCCCCAATTTTAAGCTCCCAAGCAAGCTTGGTACTCATTTTATCGACCCCTCTGAAGGGATGAAGGCTGAGTAAAGCTCGCCCAGCCCGGTGTTTGAACCTCGGACCTGTGTTGTGGAAACACGATGCACTAACCACTCAGCCACTGGGCTTCACAATTAAATTTAAATGATTAAATCAACAATTTGAAAGAAAACAATCAGCGCCCCTCCTCCCCCCTCCTTAGGGGGCCGCGGTAAAATTATCAAATGTTCTCCAGTCCGCGGCGATTTAAAGGTAGGAAAACACCACGTTACGCCATTGTGTGTATCTTTAGTTTAAAAATATAGGTACTGTTTTCACAATTCAGTCACACAACAATACTGTTTCACTATAACATTGCTAATAATCGCAATTTCTTGATACTGCTGGGTGGCCACGAAAGCCTGAAGTCCATGGTCACTCACGGACAAGTGGGGCGTGCGTGTCATGAGTGCGAATTTTGGTGCCACAGAAAACTCGCCTTGGAGAGGGGTCGATGCACGTTAAATCTATCGTGGCTCAAAGTCCTCCTGATGGCGTGGTGTTAAAGTTCGGAAGGGGAAGGGTGTACCAACTCAAGTATCGTCCTCATCACTTGATCATGATTCGAAATTACGAGGTCCGTGGCCAAAAACCTTTGTGTTGCTTTATTGTGCGATGCTAATATAACTCTCACTCCATACACTGAAAATGATTAATTATATTTTAGAATGAAATATATTAAAATATATGTATGTTTAATTTAAATTCCTGTGCCCCTCAAATGAATGTGAAAGAGGCCTTGTCTATGTATCGTTTTCTGGCATAAAACTTAAAAAAGATATACCATTAATTTTGTACTGTATTTTAACTTGATTACTATCATTCCAAAAAAGAGTTATTTTATTATTTATGACTAAGAATTAACATGATTTTGCATACCCTAGAGAAAAAATACTTATCCTGTAGTTAAGTTCCATCTTTTTGTCGATTTTTGCGAGATAACTATTTCTTCATACAGATATATACTTCACGTAGATATGCATTGGACTTGCTAAAAGTTCAGTGGATCTCTAATAGATCTCAGTCTGTGGTTTAACGGAGAATATAAGCTCCTCCTACGAAGTCAGGTTTTGGGCCCAGTAGAATACTAACCTTCCCCCTTCACGATGTGGTGTTGTACATTATGCCACTGATCTCACTGCATATCTGTAGAAAATATGTGTTTGCATTGGTAAGT